CCGAAGCAGGGCTGCTGCGGAGGGGACAGCGCTGAGGCCGGGCTCTCCTGGTGCCCACCCAACTTAGAGGAGCTCGGCGCGGCACAGGGGGCTTCATTTTCAGGGCTGGAACTACTTGATGGCATTGAAATGCACTGAAAACGTACTGCTCCTGATCAGGTGCGTTATTTGTTATGTTCCTAACTCCTTAACTTTTAGTATTCATCTTGGAGAAGAATATTGATATTGTAGTTTTTGACCAAGAAACAAAATTACGGTTGTGCTCATTATCCTCACCTGTAAGCCCTGCTGGTTACACTTAGAGGAACCCCTGGTTTTATCATTTATATTTTCATGCCTAGGATTTAGGGTTTTTTTCTGCTGGAACAAGAGAGGGTATAAAGATTTCAAAGCAAGCGCGAAGATGATGTACAAAATAGGAAGCCGATTCCTTTTACAGTGTCGCGAATTGCGCGGTTTAGTAGCTTTGCCATGTAATTGTGAAATGGAAAAAGTGAAGAGAGGACTGCGTGGGCGATGATCCGGTGGTGCGAGATCGCGGCTCTGGAAGACGCGCAGTTCATTTTAGCGGGGTTCCTTCCCACTCTTTTACAGCAGGGATAGTTTCATTTAGTGTATTTTATTCTCACGCTTGGCACGATCTGCTCCGCGCAGCCCTTCCTCTCCCAACAGTACGTTTTTCTAGTGAGCAGATTACAGGACCACCCCTCTGCTTGACGAAACGTGGAGAGCTCAAAGTGCTGGTTGTAAAACCCTGGGCCAGGCTCGATCCATGCTTGAGGCAGGAATTGTAGGGGCCGCGTCTTGCAGACGTACATCCTGCGCGTGGGGTATGGCCGTGCGCGCGTGCAATCTTTGGGGGGACCGTTCCGTACGTCGGTGTGAAGGTGGGCATCATTCAAGCGACGTAAGCGACGGCGGGGAACGCGCCTGCGGCCTGAGCAGCACGTCCGCGTCCTCTCGCCGTGCAAACCTGGTGATTCCTCAGTGAGCGGCGGAGGTGGTGACGTGCGCGGTGCTGGGTGCAAGTGGAAGCCAAACAAAAGCGCTTCGCTGCGTTTTACGCGTTTGCTGTCAACAAACACTGCGCAGGCAAGTTTAGATACAGCTGAGACTGGTGGCCAGGTGGTGAATTCCAAAACAGCTCAAGTTTTGAATGCCTTCGGGGAGAGAACTTGACTGAGCAGAAGAGCGACGGCTGTAATTTCTCAGGCAAAGCATTAGCTGCCAGAGATGAGCTTCTGAGATATTTGGCCATTTATTTTATTGAAATATTTATGTCTAATCCAATAAAAAGTTGACTCTTAACTATGCGACTGGATGACTACTGACTGTATGACACTGGCTGTCACAATTCTAAAACCTCAAAAATCAGTCTCTGTTTTTTTGTGAGAAGCAGCCTGCTTGCTAAAGACTCTGGGAGGGTATTTTGCCAGAGGAATAACCAGTGACAAGGAAGAGGAAAAAAACCAAACCCAACCTCTTGCAGGTTTTTTTTCAGTCTTCGCTGTAGCGCAGCTTTATGCTAACAGGCGTAGTACAAACGCGTGGTGCTGCTTTCTCAGGTCCTCCTCGAGTTCATTTTTTTTTTTTTAAATGTCATTTTGTTACTGCCTGCCAGCAAGCTACCTCACGTCTCCCTCGGTTAGCCAAATGTCATCCGTGTCCCACAGTATAAAGTGTAATTACGTATTTAAAAAGTGGGAAGGGGAAGGTAAGGAAGGGAGGAGAGTGGCTGCTTTGCCTTTTACTCTATTGGAGAAGTACTTGAAATTCCTCACATTCTTCCCCTGCTAACAGTATGTTTACTTTTCATCACTGGGTTATTAGGATTAACAAAAGTCATTGCTTCAAGCTCATTTGATTTGAATTTAGTGAAAGCAGACTACCTCCTGCAGACTGTAGGAAGCATTCTTCTGCCACAGTAATGTATTAATTAGCAAAAAAAGCAGCCACAAAAAAAAAAAAAAAAAAAAAGTGAGACCTGACACCCCGCTTCCACCCCGATGCTGAGCATCGCCATGCATGTGCTGCATTCTAATGAAGTACCTTATGTTGCAAATTCCAGGACGGTTTGAATAATCTGACAGTCTAATTAACATTTCAGACTCTGGATCCAACATTTGCTTTCAAGGCCGAGCAGCTTTTTCTGTATCTACTTTCTCGAGCAGGGGGCTGCAGGCACCCCTTCAGCATGGCATTTGCCCCAAGAATTAGACTCAGCTTTCTCAGCCATTGCTGCAGCAGAGCTCCTTTTAATTTCTGGAGCACCTAAGCTTTTCAGAATTCAAAGTTTTCACAGAAAGCTCTCACATTTGCTGTATTTAAGTCCATTGCCTATCACAATGCTCTACTGCGAGGAGTTAGGTAAATATTTCTTTATTAAATGATTAATTCCATAAATAAATTCTTTTAATTCATTGAATATAAAATTAAAATCATTTACAACTTATTCCAGTATTACAGGGGCTGGAAGGGGTGTAAAAAAAAAAAAAAAACAAAAACAAACCTCAAAGAAAAACAAAACGAGCTACAGTTTGATAAATAAAATACTTAGCTTTAAAACAACTGATTTCTGTTTGCCATTAAACTACAGTTGGTACATAATAGCTGCCACTGTGAACACCCCACAAGTGCCCACCTCAGGAAGGAATGTAACTTCCAACTTGGTTGGGAAAGGGTTGGAGAAGATGGAGGGAGGGGAGAGAAGCATCGTGTTAAACTGAACAGGATGGGGGGGGGGGGAAGGTTTTCATAACCAGAACAAAACATTTATCTGATCACTTACAAACAGAAAACAGTATATAATTAGATAAGGTGCTCCAAAAAGAAGCAGTAAAGTTGCTCCAGTACTATGAAGCTTTAAGTATGCTTAAATCTCTGTTGCATTAGTGTCCAGTCGCACAGTGCACTCTTGTGACATCTCAACGTTGCCCTCAAACGGGCAGGGCACCATTTCCATCAAAGGTCCTTTCTCCATCGCTGGTTACTTCAAAATTCTCTTTAGCATCCCACCCCCAACACAGCTTAGTCCCTGAATTTGTGGATGTCATTGACTAGTCTGTAGTAGGGATAAGCTTCGTTCGCGTGCGGGCAGTTGTAGCTGCATCGGCAGGACTGGATCATCATGACGCTCTTGGTGAAGGTTTCTCCGTCGTCGCAGCGGAACCTGATCTTGACAGTCCTGGTCTGCTGAGGCGTGCAGCACCTGCCATCCACGCAGGAGCCACAGTACTTGGGGCGGTACTTCTTCACGCTAGAACATCCGGCATAAGTGAACTTCACTGGGGACGGGGACTTCCTAGTCTTGGTACATTTTTTTCCCTTCTGTAAAGGAGAGGCAGTAAGACCGTTAGCGGGAGCTTCTCCTCCAGCCTTCACCCTCTACCCGAAGCAGTTTGGAAAGAAGAGAAGCACCGGAAGAGCCTGTGTTTACCTTTAGGGAGGCGTAGCTAGGCTCGCCACATGGCCTCACTTCGCATATCCTGGTCTCTTTGATGAGCTTGCAGTCGGGATTGTCGTTGGTAACCCTCGTAGAGATGCCGGTTCCACACGTCTTTGAGCACTGGGACCAGGAGGTTGTTTGCACGATGCATTTGGGATTCTCAAAAGCTCGGCTTTGTGGCTCGGATCCAAAGACTGGAACAGAAAAGGAGGGCTTAGCCCAAATGCATCCTTCTCCGCTGGGTTTCTTTCTTTCCATCGGGGGTCTAAGGAGTTCATACAGCCATCCCCCCGCCTCCTCCCCATCACCGTCGCACAGACCAGCCCATACTCACCAGGTAGCATTTTCAGGCCTCCTTTCACAATGGCAATTAGCTCATTGTTCCTGGTTAGTTCGCCTTCGGAATCGTCCAGCCCAAACTCTTTGCTGAAGAAGCCTTCCAGCTCATCCAGCACATCCTTGCTTTCATCGCAGACCCACTCTTCGCAGCACTGCCCGGGGACTTTGACCAGCCTGGGGCTGGGGCAGCCCAGGTTAGGAAGAGAGAGCTCCTGGGGGCAGAGCGGGATGCAGCCCACAGCTCCATCTATGCATGTACACTGGTGTTTACAGTTCGGCTGGAAGCTTTCGCCGTTCTGGTAGATCTTGGAGTTGTATTCACACGGTCTCCCCTCGGACTGCGCTGCAGAGATCGACAGAGAGGGGAAAGGAGGGAGTCAGCGGTGGGAATCGCCGGTTTCGGCACAGGTATTTGCTGGGCTGTTAAATTCGATTTACGGCGGAGCTCCCTACAACCCCCCGGGGATGCGGGGCCAGAACAATAAGTTAGTCAGGAATCACTTTTCCTTCTGCGCGTTGAGCGCAGCCCAGACATACTGAATCGCATTCCAGACTGCTGAAGTCATGTGCCTTTCTGCCAAGCTACCAACAACAAAGCATAACCATACATGGACTCGAAGTTACTAAACTCCGGCGCTACGGGGACCGGGGTTCGTTCTCCCGGGGGAGGCGGGGGGCCAGCCGCTTACCTCTGCAGATGCCCTTCAGCGCGGCGGGGCTGGCGCCGAAGTTGCACTCCAGCCCCTTGGTGTGGTCGCAGGGCTGCGCCCGGCTGCAGTCCTCGTTC